TGCTTTCCTGTTCAATTTACAGAGCCACGATACATTTCTGTCACGCGATATTCTTTCCCGATAAAAATCCAAGGGCATTTAATTTTGACGCTGAATATATAACAATCTAATTTAAAGGTTTCCATGAGAAAAGAAGCACTCAAAAAATGATTTGAACGAATGATAAATAAAATCATTGGTACGATGATATGTCGAAAGTCCTTGCTGCATTTCCATGAAAAATATTTAAAAAAAAATTCTAATCGTTAGTCTTTCAGATTATCTGATACTACAGATTTTGTAACTGCTATCTTCTAATTTACTTCATCGTTGAATTTGCTGTCACATTCGTATGTCGAAATGTTTCAAAAATGCGCAGGTGCAACAATTAGGTACAGCATTTACACGAAATACTTGAAATTAAATGAAAATTCATTAAATACGATCTTCAACAGATCAATCGTCTGGGTGGAGCCGTACTGATGTCATTAGGTACAGTTACGTACCATGCACGAAAAGAGAAAAAAATAAGCCTACAAAAGTGGAGCATAAGGACTTAAAAGAATGTCTGACAACGTCAAGCTAAGTGGTAAAGCAAAACTGAAGCATGGTTAAAAGTCGACTATTGACACTATAGAACGAACGAAATAGTCGAAGCTTGAAATTGTATTCTTTTCAAGAAAATTAACATTGTCAAAGTTTGGGAAAGATTGCCACAGGACTGAGTAACGATTCCAAATGTTTTTAAAAATGAACAATACTAGCTGTACGTACATACCGGTGTTAACGCTACGTATTTTAAAAGCTTATAAACAGTCCTTAACGTGGATTTGAAAGAACTGTTCTCATGGCATGTACAAGCAAGCGAACGGGGACGAAAAACCGACTTGAATCAACAATCACAGGGGATAATAAACTTGGCTTGATAAATCTTGGAGAAAATGCCGGAATATAACGTTTAAGGAGACGTGAGGAAAGAGTCGTCATGCATGACATGCAATGGATACAAATAAAAACATTGTTTCGAAATCAAGATATTCCGACATTGAGATGCTGAGTTCGCGACCAAAAATAAACTGAAAAGCGATACAACGAAGACGAAGATTGTACGTCGTGGGTTCTGCATCGAAAAATACAAATTTTCACATGTAACCAAGTGTTGTGCTTATAGCCTTTGGCGGTTTAATTTATCTACTTAAACCCATTCCTTAGCAATTAGCTTGAAAAGTTCAATTGGTACGTTTTGATACGTTTTCTGATATGCAAAAAATGTGGCCGATAAAACTATATATTACGCATAAACAGTCCTATGAACGTGGATTTAAAACAAAGGGACAGAAAAAGATTGGATTCCAAGGTAGAAATGAGTGATATTGATGACGATCACAGAGGATGATAATCTGCTAAAAAATCTTGGCGAAAATGTCGGGAAAGAACGAATAAATGAACGTGAATAATTGAGGAAAGAGTCGTTATGACATGCAATGGATACAAACAAAAACATTTTTCAAAATCAAGATATTCCGATATTGAGATGCTGAGTTTGTGATCATGAAAAAAACCAGTACAGCCGAGATGAAGACTGCCGAAAACATGAATTTTCACATGATATCAAGTGTTGTATGATGTTGCATGTGTCTAGGAAACGCAAAAAAGCTTAGGCGGTTCAGTTTTTCTATTTTATTTCATTTCCTCGCAGTTCAATTGCATAGATTGATAGGTTTCCGAGTTTCGACAAAATATTCGCCGATAAAATTATACAGAATGTGACAGCAAATGACAATGTAAAAAAAACATAAAATGAAACTCAAACAACTCAAATTCGGTCAAATTATTTTCCGAGCTTCCCATGAATTTCGTTGCAAATTATCAAATGATGATATGGACTTACAGAAGACCAGAAAGGAAATCCAGAAAACTCGTGAATTTTCAACATATCGAAGCCATTGATTTTTATGAATAATTGTAATCGATATATCTGCATGAATTTTATCATTAATTTATTTTAGTTTGTCAGGATCATTACGATCATTGTGACAAGTTTGCACACGTACCTTACTATTATAATGTAATTTATTATTAAATTACTAAGTATATTTGCACATTTACGCGTTATATATTATCATGTATTGTAATAATCAATATAGTTGTTTTGAAAATGTATTTGAGTTTCCTTTGGTTTAGCGTAATGGCAAATCCCAGGCGTAAATTCTAGCGCCTAGTTCAAAGTCTCTCTGTGTCTTTAAAACATTTGAATGAAATATATTTGTCGACCATCTCCCAATTAAGTTATCATTCCAAGCTCCAAGTATATTTTCTTACAAATATGAACTTTTTTTTAACTTTCACGTGGGGAGCACTACCCGCAGTAATTAGAGGGGCACTATATCCATTGCAACATCGACAATGATACCCTATAAAAGCACTTGCCTCGCATTGCTCATTGCTGGACATCACCTGGACAACAAATTGTTGACGAATCGTTGGATGAAAATTTACGTTACATAAAATCCTAACAGAAAATCCTAATCTAAAAACTCCTAAGAAAAAGCTCATTCCAAACTGCTGCCGTTTAAAAAGGCAAGGAGTAACTCGACATGGAGATATTTTTGCATGTTGTAAGGCTGGAAATCAAACAATTACTCTTTATAGTTTTGAGATAAACAAATTTAACTGCGCAAGGGTTCCAACGAAATTAATTTTTAGATCGATGAATATTTCTTATTAATTATTCAACGTCATTACTTGGAAAAAGCAATATTGATGAGTTCGAAGAAGTGTAAATAATATTTGTTGTTTAGTGATACGGGCTGAAAATATCAGAGCTTACGTACAATTGTAAGTACATTTTCATGAACACCTAATCCAGCCCAACATACAGCATTAGTTACCAAATAAATTGAGGCTTAGATCTGTTTCGAGCGCATTTCATTTAAATCTCGGATACGCGATAATTGTCACTCGAAAACGTTACAGGTATAAAGTTCCTAACAATATAGACTTCGTTAGGTATCACATATCCCACATTTTAAAGTTTATATTGTTCTTGTTTTATAGTATTTTAGGCATGCAAGCAGAGATGTAAACAAACGAAAAGTCTTGTTTTCTTCATATAGCGTGCATAGTCTAACAAACAACGCCTTCGGTGTTTTCTTTGCGGCCAAACCTTGTAGCTATGATACGGAATGTGTCCTTCCTCCAATATCAACTTCTAGGCTAGTTTTTGCATGTTCAGAAAATCCGATGAGTTAGAAGGCTGACCCCGGACATATAATACACTTCTTCTCGTTTCGTGTCCTATAATTATTTAAAAGCTTAGCGACTTAGATGGCCCGGAAGCAGATACAGGCCGACGAAAAATTTTGTTTCTGTTCACGTACCGTCCTTACAAAAGCAAAACAACGCTGCGCTTGCGGTTCTTTGCGGTTTAGTTTGTATTCTTAGGAATAGATTTAAATAAATCACTGGTACCAGTTGGTCAGTTCGCTTGCGAATTTTTGGTGAAAACAGTTTGCGAAGATTTCGCTACAGATGAATGTGCAATAAGGTAGGCTTATTGTATTAATTCAAAGCTCAGCATGCAGAATTTGAACAGCGCATGAGTGGCGCATCACTAACATTCTAAAGAGAACTTCAGCGGTATATTAGGAGGGGAACGTTACTGGATGAGAATAAATATTGTCGCGCATGTGAAATATAGACGCAAAATAACGTTTCTATATTTATATATAGTTTTTGCATAAAGCGTCTTTTTAAAACAAGACATCCGTTGTGGTTTAGTTTGAATTCTTAGGAATATTGATTTACGATATAACTTAATAGGTACCTTTTTTATCGCTTGCGATATATTTTGGTGGAGCACTTTTCCCAAACGAATAAAACGATATATTATCGTAGTCTAAAATGACTCTGCTTTGAAAACAGTTCAGACATCAGTTAGTATACACCCGGCAGGATTTGAAAAGCGCCTATAAAATTTAGGCCTAATTTATGCTAGGCTTAGATTGTTTTGCAATAAACATTCCCAAAACTAGACATGCGTGATGATATAATAATGCAATAAAATTATTTGCTATTTCTTCATAAATTGCCTGCATGGGCAAAACTCGATTTCCTCAACAATAAAATTTTGTCAATACACAGTGTAGGCCATAAGTGATGTACTGTATGCTAGTTAGATAAATTAGAGATAAAATCAAGCCACGAGGGAATCACATTCAACACGATAAACCATTACGCAGGTTCCTGAACGCATGCATTTGTATTAACCTAAGATTAATTGGTTTTGGCCAATCAACCACTAAAATCCCCCAGGTTATAAAAGCTTCTGACAAATATATAGGATACACTAATCCAGCATCGTCAGTCCGCCTTTTTTTAGCCAAACAACTGTTCTTACGTCAACGAAATAGGACAGTCAAACCCTAAAAGAGTTCCGTAAATACAAAAAAAACAATCCGGCCCCTACAGCACCCATTTGCTGTCATACAGAGAGGGGGAGGGTTTCACTCACCCTTATGTTGGTTCTTCACACAATTTTGGCCACAAAAAACTTTAAATTTTATTATAGGAAAATATAATTGTTAGTGTGCGTTATAAAAGAAACGCAGGACTTTACTATGGAGAAAACGGAGAATAGAAATGAAGGACAAAAAGACGCAATTAAAACAACTTCCAAAAATTTTCCAAAAGAACATGACGAAGATGGTACAGTATCAACTATGCAGAATATTATAAAATTTTAGTTTTAGGGACCATGAAGTTTAACAATTTGTTCACTAACGTCAGTTGCAAACTAATCCAGAGCAACTTTGCAATTAGCTTAATAAATGCACTTTTTCGTCTTACTTTATTTATTAAAGCTTTTTAGAGCATTAATATAATATAATTGTATTCGTCTGGACAATATAATGAAGTAAATGCGCATCACGTCTTGGCAACAATAAAGTTTTATTATGAAGCCAAGGCTTCAAGGCTTGAAAGTTTTATTTTTTGTATTTCAAAAATAACGTATAGGTCAAATGGGAGAAGCTGGAAACAGAGATCGTCAGCAAGATGGAAATGAAACAAAATTAGTTGAAGATAAAACGAAAATAATCATGACAGAACAATCCGTTGGAGAAATGGATTTAAATGATGTGAAGTCAAAGAATTCCGATAAAGAAGAAGTGGGAGACACTGAAAAACGCGAGGAGGAAAAACCTGATGTTTCTGAGCAAGGTATATGAGGTTTATTTACATCAACTTTATGGCCAACTAAAGAATGCTAATTATATTACAAATTTTTCGTATTATCAATAACGTATAGCCGATATGGAGAAAACTAAAAACGAAGATCGTCAGCAAGAAGGTGGAAACGAAACAACATCAGCTGAAGATGAAACGGAAATTACCACGACGGAACAACCCGCTGAAGAAATGGATTTAAGTGATGTGAAATCAAAGAATTCCGACGATAAAGCAGAAGTGGGAGACACTGAAAAACCTGATGTGGAAAAACCGGACGTTTCTGAGAAAGGTATAAAATGTAATTGTAGTATACATTGGGGTGCATCGAGCCCAGGTGACCCCATACCCTGTGCTGTAACTCTAATCTACTAAAAAAAGGTAAAATATTTACTTGCATGGTAGCTTTTTAGGAGTCGTGTGCTATGCTTCAATTAAGGGTATTTATTTAACAAAGACAGTTGTTGTTAACCTTTGAACTTACAATTTGTTTTGTGATAGTCGATGCGGAGAAAACTGAAAACAACAGTCAGCAAGGGAATGAAAACGAAACCACATCAGCTGAAGACAAGCGAGAAATTACCAAGGGAAAACACCTTGTTCGGGACACGGATTTAAAAGAAGTGAAACCAACAAATTCTAACATAAAGGCAGAAGTGGGAGACGCTGAGAAATTTGACAAGGAAAAACCTGGTGTTTCAGGGAAAGGTATGTTGAAATGAGATGAATGATAATTGTACTTTATTATTCAGTTTTAAACTTGCGCCCAACGCAGTCTATTATATTTAAATAACAACAGAGCATTAATTGCACGGCAAAATGGCAGCAAGCTACTCTGACTAACACAACTGCATGCGGAGCATATATAGACACTTTTAACAACTGTTATGACGACTCTTTGGTTAGAAAAGTTCAGAATATCACCTGAAAACCCCGCATGATTTCAAGAGGCAGCGAAATATCCTCTCGAAAATCTCATCCGTTTTATGTATTTTACTACCTTCGGAGTATCCAGACGGGACCAGTAAGAAAATACTGATAGGGGCGATGGATGACAAGGCAAAAATCATTCTCATTTTTCTTAAGAAAATAAAACTAGAAGCAAAGAGATATTTCGACCATTTAGAGAGTAAACACAGCGATAGGTTATCTTCAAATACGGGACCCACGCGAGCCAACGAACACAAAATTGTGAAAATTATACAAGTGGAGATTGAGAAAAATGTTCGTGAAATTAAAGAAACGCCGCTAAGCAACTTCGCATCTCTTGCAAGCAAATATAACATTCAGTTGGATGACGATGAAACATGTTCTGAGTTTGAAAAGAACATAGACAAGTGGTTGAAAATAGGAATAAAAGAAGCTAAAGATCTTCTGAAATTACAATAGCACGTCCCAAAATTGGCGGACCTGGAAAGAGAAATATATCGACCTAAAACCCAGGGTAGCAAATCTATTGCAGAGGATACGAACAAAATGTATGAAAACAAAAGAAGAGAAAAGGCTGATCAAAAAGAAACGTTCAAGCATCTAGACCCAAGAATTCTTGAGTGTCTGAATTCTTTTCCACAAATGAATGAAAGTGAACGAGATAAAGCATTGAGGAAGCTAAAGCATCAGTTAGATAAGATGGTTCTTCATGTCATGGCAGAATTGCACGCAAAAGATGGGAAGAAAAATGTAGCAACGCTCGAAGAGTTGGATGAGATACGTTTGAAACAGTTTCAGTAGAAATCTAAATTTTCGTTTGGTTCAGAACACATCATCAGAGAACTTTACCAAATTGAAGAAAGCAAATACGACTATGCAGGTGTTGCTGCAGAAATGTTGCTTTCAGGACAACCTCTTGAGATACTGGATGGTGATTCCTTTTACATTCCACTGACATGGTTTAGGGCTGTGTTTACTAAACTAAAACAAAAAAAGCCTGGCATTGCCGGTCATCACCTTTAACGAATTATTCCCCCAAAATTTTTGGACGAATTGTTGGATGAAAATTTACGTTACACAAATCAACAGTTACAGAAAATCCTAATCTGAAAACTCCTAAGAAAAAGCTCATTCCAAACTGCTGCCTTTTAAAAGGACGAGGAATAACTCAACATGGAGATATTTTTGCATGTTGTAAGGCTGGAAGTCAAGCAATTACTCTTTATAGTTTTGAGATAAACAAATTTAACTGCGCAACGCCTCCAACGAAATTAATTTTTAGATCGCTGTTAAGCGCTGCATGGGATAGATTGATGAATATTTCTCATTAATTATTCAACGTCATTACTTGGAAAAAGCAATATTGATCAATTCGAAGAAATAAATGTAAATAATATTTGTTGTTCAGTGATACGAGCTGAAAATATCAGAGTTTACCTACAATTGTAAGTACATCTTCATGAACACGTAACCCAGCTCATTATACAGCATTAGTTACCAATAAATCGAGGCTTAGATCTGTTTGGATTTTACACGTCAGTTCATCTTGTAAAAACTTGTTAAAAACTGCACCACCATACAACAGATCTTTGAGGGACATATTTTGAAACTTGGCAGATTGTACAAATACCCAACGTGAAATCAGCCAACGAAGCGTTTTAAAACAGTCGATCTAAAGGCGGAAAAACGCTGCTCAAAGTTTATACTGCCTATGACCTTTGTATTTCCATTTAATAAATTTCATAGAACCAATCATAAACCATTTGTTTTTTTAAAAAAATATCGTATAGTTGATATGGAGGAAACTAAAAATGGAAATAAAGAACACGAAGATGAAAAACAGTCAACATCAGCTGAAAATGAAATGGCAGTTACTACGGAACAACTGGATGATAAAACCGACGATTCCAACACAGAAAGAGGCGATATTAAAAATCTTCATAAAAAAACAACTGATGATTCAGAGAATGGTATGAAATGTATTTGTACATCAACCGAAAATTATCATGAACAAATTAGATCTTTTAAAAAAATTATCGCCAATAACGCCCTAAATTACGCTAGAGTAAAAAATCACTTTCATAATACTTATTTCCCCAGTCTTGTGTAGAAAAAATTCAGTTTTATGACTCTGTTTTGTAACCGTAGCAAAATCCGTAAGCCTTCCTGGTAATCTTGCGAAGCATTCACCTCCAGTTTCAGAAACGGGGAAAGATGAACCGGAACAACAAGACCAAGCTTCAGAAGCATTAACGACAGCAACTACAACAATTAAGACAACAAATACACAAAACAAAAATACAGAAACACCTGCTTCGAATTACACATTAGAACATGCACGAACCATCAATAATCATTTACTAACTGATCAAGAATTGAACTCCAAAGAGAAAATACCTGATTATATTTTTAAAAATTTAATGATAGTTAATTATCACGTACGAGAATTCGAACTAAAATCAGGTGAAGATAAAGATACCGTGGAAGTGAATCCAATGGATGCGATACTCGGTATATTTCATCGCTCCGATGATTCATTACGACGTTATCTTACCAGTAAATTATCCGCTTGTCAACTTAGTGTTCCATTTCTTCTGCCAGACCCCGCAGCACCTTCTAAAAACGTCACAATTCTGCTGTCAGCTTTAGAGAACATCACAAAGTGTTGGAAAGATTCCTCCGGAACAAAACAAGTATTTGCAACGGAACATCCATTTCCGGTTGTTTCTTTCATTCGCATTGGCAAAACTAAAATGTCAAAATCCTCCTTGATTAATAAAATTATGAGTGACGGAGACATTACTCATGACTTCTTCTTCCACAAAGACATGAAAGGTGGTCACGTTGAAAGGAAAGTTGTTGATGGATTGGTTGAAGTGAATTGGTATCTTCCTGGGGAGAGTAAAGGAACGACGTTAAAAAAAGAAATTTGTTTTGCAAATCTTCGAGGAGACGCCAGAAATTTTCAGAAGCAGCTTGGTCTTATCTCTGCGATTTCATCCGTATTATTTATATTATTGCCCTCGAAATTTCGAAGCAAAGGCGACGCCATACCAAAAAAAATGTTACAAGAAGCAAAACGTGCCAGAGGTAAAACCATCCTCATCTTTAAAAAAGACATCGAAAATGATGCGAAAAAATATTTCGAGGATTCAGAGTTTTCTTTGATATTTCAAGCCAAAGAGAAAATCATGGAGATACGACAGAGTATTGAAATAAATATCAATAAAGTGGAAGCCTCACCTCTTGTGGCCCTAGCATCTCTTCAAGGTGGAGATGGTGTTCATCTTGACGTTCCACAGCATTTAGATTTGGAAATCGAAGAGAGATTTGGAAAATGGCTAAACAGAGAAAATAGAAATGTCAAAGATCTTCTCAAATTACAAACGCACGTCCCAGAATTGGCGGATTTGGAACGCGAGAAACATTCTCCGAAATTTCTCAGTAGTAAAACTAAACCCGATGGCATTACGAAAGTTGCAGAGAAGATTTGCGAAGATATCGCAAAAGTAAAAATCGCTCAAAGAGGCACCTTAGACAAATTGGACGAAAGAATCCTTCGTTGCCTAAAATACATTGGCACCATCGATGAAACTGCACGAGATTACACTTTAAACAAATTGAAAAATTGTTTAAATAAAATGTCTCTAGAAACTATGCCAAAATTGCACGAAGCCTATCTCCAGGCTAGGCTGAAACTTCTGAAGAAGAAGAAGAAGGAAACGTCTCAGGGATCCGAAACACAATCCCCTGAAGAGAAAAATTTAAAAGATTTAAAAGATTTAGAAGATCAAATCTCAAAACACTCGTTCGGTTTAGAACACATCATCAGAGAACTTGCTCAGCTTTACGAGATTGAAGAAAGCAAATACGACTATGCAGGTGCCGCAGCAGACATGTTGCTTTCAGGACATCTTCTTGAAATACTGGATGGTGATTCCTTTTACATTCCACTGCGATGGTTTAAAGCTGTGTTTAATGAATTAGAGCAAAAAACAAATAATGCGAATATATTTGTAATTTCTGTTGTAGGAATTCAAAGTTCAGGTAAGTCAACAATGTTAAACACAATGTTTGGTTTAGAATTTCCAGTCAGTGCTGCAAGGTGTACGCGTGGTGCTTTTGCTAATCTTATTCCCGTTAGTGACTCTCTCAAGACAGCTTCAAAGTTTGATTACGTTTTGATTATTGATACCGAAGGTCTTAGTGGATCCGCAGATTCCAGGTTACGAAAACATGACAACCAGTTAGCGACATTTGCAATTGGTGTTGCCAATGTAACCATAGTGAATATCATGGGTGAAAATGAAAATGAGATGAAAGAATTTTTAGAAATAGCTATCCATGCTTTTTTGAAGATGAATATGGTTGAAAAAAGGAAAACGTCTTGCAAAATTGTCCACCAAAATGTTGTAGCAACGGATGCAAAAGACAAATTAACTTTCAGACGATTCAACCTCAAAAAGGATCTCGACCAAATGACAAAGCTTGCTGCTTGGCAGGAGAATTGTGGACAAGAATATCGTACATTCGATGATATCATTTCCTTTGATGAAGAGGCAGACGTGTTTTATATACCAAGTCTTCTGAAAGGAACTCCACCAATGGCTCCAGTGAACCCGGACTATGGAAGATCTGTTCAAAAAGTGAAAGAAACCATCATTGACTTGATGTATTCAGAAGAAAGTGTGAAAAATTCTTTTTCCCAGTTTCGAGAAAGAGTCTGCAACCTCTGGAAGGCCATGCTTAAAGAAAATTTTATATTTTCTTTCCGTAATATAATTGAAGTCAGGGCATTTACGGCATTAGACAGAAAATATTTTAGTGAGTCAGTAAATTTGATTACAATAGGAATGAGCGAGTTTCAAACGAAGGTTAAAGTGGCTCTAAAAAGGTGCTCAAATAAGACACAACGAGAAGAGGAATGGAAAAAGAAAGAAAGGGAAATACGTGAAGAAGGACAAAGACTTGCAGAAAAAATGAAAGAGGCAATGAATGAATTTTTCAAAACCAACCAGGACAAGGAAACTCTAGAACAGTGGAAAGAAAACGTGATGAATAGAATTGAAGTTGAGAAAGAAACTCAAGTGCGACAAATCCACAACAATTGCTTATCAACTTTCGAGTATTTACAGAGTCTACCGGACGTTGAAGCAATGAAACAAGATTGCGAAGCGATGCTTCTGGAAAATGCAAAATACTTTATAACATCAGCCGGTGATATTGATGATAAAAAGAAATTTAAGATTGCTTTCGAAAAAGAATGGCGGCAATGGATTGAATGCGTTTCCGAATGTCAAGTAAGTAAAGTAAACGTCAACGACGAAATGGTGTTTGTTCTTCGCACCACAGACAAAAGTTTGGAGGCTGAAATGGGAAAGAAATTAGAAGAAAAAAACAATGACATATTAAACTTTCGAAAAGATGCTCCAGATGTTGAAAGTAGTCAGCTAAAATATTTCCCCAGCAAAATTTATTCATATAAGAAATTCGTTTCCACACATTTAAGAAATATATTTACCAATGCTGGAAGAATTGAGGAATTTGCAGCATTCCAGGCAGTCGATTTTGCAGAAAACGCTTTAAATTCGGGATTTAGATGCACGCGTAATGTTCTAACACAAATGTACCACAATGTGATCACCGCGATCGAAGAAGAAACAGAAGAAATCCGTAAGTCTTCAAAATGTGATATATTGCTTTACGCTTTTGCTGAAACGTATGAAATTTTTGATAAAATGGAAGAACGCTTCATACAAGAACGAGATATTAGAGGAGATCTGGAAAGGAACCTGCGACCAATGTTAGAAAAGTATTTCAGAGATATTTGTGAGAAGATGGAAAAAGAAGTGTTAGCTGCTACTTCGTTCGTCCGAGCACTTGAAACTCCAATTGAATCAGCGTTGAACAGCACGATGGGTCGAGCAGTGGCAAGAGAAATAATGAAAGAAACCACATACAAAAGCAAAAGTCAATTTCATGCGAATGTCCTCATTCAACTTGGGAAGGGAAGAAATTTCGATTCGTACAAGCCTTATCTAGCAAACCCTGTTGAATTTCTAAAAAGAAAACTAATGGAATCGATTGAAAACTACTGTTTAGACCACGTGAAATCTATTTTAGAAGACAAAATCACAGGAATACAAAACAATGTTTTCGCTGCTATTAAAACTGCCAACGAGAAAACAAGAGCAGGAAACAAGAAACTGACATTCTGGATTCAGCAGTTTGTCGAAGAGTGTTCTATACTCGTTATAAAGGAAGAAACGTTTGCTCTAGCTGCCATTGAAAATCTGGATAATATTGAAGTCTTCCAGGTTGAAGTTCATAAAAAAGTAAACCTTTTTGTAAAAAGCTTCATAGATCGCGGTTTTGATGTTGAAGCTATTCGAACATGGAATCCATCACCGGGTGATATTGTATTTAACAAAATTATTGGTTGTGAAAGTGTTTGTCCATTTTGCAAAGCTTTGTGTGACCACACAGTTTCAAATCATCCAGGTAAACACTCAACGCTATCTCACCGTCCACAAGGAATATGTGGTTGCCGCAAAATGAGGTCAAAAGTATTAGTCACCGAAATTTGTACAATGTGCGTGGCAGGTGAAGGCACATTTGGAAACGATGCTACATCCTGGAAATATCTTCCTTACAAAAATTATCAGTCAGTGAATGATTATTACAAATCCTGGTCGATTCCTCCAGATCCATCATTCGAATCATCCAAGTATTTTCAATGGTTTATGGCAACTTTCTCGAAAGAATTGGCAGAATACTACGAGGTCAAAGAACCAGACATTCCCGAGGCATGGAAGCGCGTTACGTTCAGCGAGGCAAAAGAAGATCTTGAACATAAACACCACCTGTAAAAAATACATGGATATAGTATCAAATGTAAAAGGGGCAATACGACATATTATATTGTCTACAACACTCTACAAGTTTCAATGTTTTTCAACAGAGGAACGTTGTTGATATTGAAAGTATACAACATTTGCGTTAATGATAAATCATTTATTATAAGAATAATATTAGTTTAATGAAACGACTATAATTATATATCTTTTCATAAAATATGTAAATCAATTTGTTATACATAACGCTACTTAAACATTTTAAACAAAATAGCCTAAATGACATGATGCAAACCCCGCTGAAGTTGTCAGGGAATATTTTAACTCTTTCGCATATAAAAATTTTCAGATATAATAATATAAACCGGACATTTAAACTCAGTCTTAACAAAAAGCACTAAAATATTATCAAATTTCAGTAGACAGACAAAACGGCATTTTAATAGACGACATATATCACAAACGCACTACGTTGAACAGACACTTCAAAATTTCCACATATATGAAGACTTTGGTCATATCAACCAACCTTTCCTAGTCTCGAGGTTGGCTCCGGTGCAAGCAATTATGAACAGCTGATTCTGGTGAAGAGAAAACGGCGAGGAACAAAAATCTCGAGATCTTTTCATGAGAAATGCTCATATATAGCCATCTAAACATAAGTCTACTATTTAGTGTTATAGTCATGACTGAAGGAACTCAAAGTGCAACTAAAACATTTACAACCGAGCGCTAAGCAGGAAATATCCGCATGTAAGAGAATAAAACAACCAGTGTTAAGCGGTTTGTTGAAAATCGTCAGTTTATAGGTTTTGGAATCATCATCTTTTAATCAGCCATTTTCAAGCAATCTGAAAACGATTGAATTTGCCATCATATTGATTACTTCATCTAGCTATTTTCAGCATGAAAAATCTAATTTCATCAAATTTCAAATATTTCTCACCAAAACTGTCGAAAAATGAGTTATATTAATTCGTATGTGTCACACATCAGAACTAATGGTAATTAAGTATTTTGCGTTTCGTTTGCTGTCACAACCTTAAACAAAACACACCTTGTTCGTGATAAAAAAAATTGAGAAATGAAAATATTCCGAGAGACATTTTGCAGATCGTTTTTCCAATCAGAAAAATAACGATTGTGGAACTATAAAGCTTTAAAAGCCAACTACGTCGTCCGTTGAGTGATCTTCTTAACTGAGCTGAATCGACAAAAGATCTTGACGCTCTGTGCTCGAAAATAACAAGCAAAACTCCAACTCCACCTCGACTATATAGTGTTTTAACAAAGAGGATTGTGTGACTACGTTCCATGATGAAGCATCGAAGTAAAGTGATGCATGATTACATCTTTCTAAAGCTACAAACAAACCAACATTAACACTTGAACACTGACTGGTTATCGTGGAATGAAACTGTATTTTGGAGTGCGTTATTCCTGAAGATAGACAATGGAACTCTGAGATTGAGATTAAGAAAAGAATCGGAAGAAAATATGAATGAGGCAAAAAGTACTGTTGACGTTGGTATTACAAAAGACAAATACGATTTATCCCAAATGACAGAATGTTGATTTAAGTTAACTTGTAATGCACTCAGTGGAAAATGACACCTTGGAACATCATCATAGAAACCAAATCGTAAATTTGGAAGAAAGAAAGAATCATGCGACCAAAGAAGGTGAAGAAAAAGTCAACCACGCTGTTCAAAATGATGAGAATTATACAAACGAGGATTATATATTTGTGAATTGTGAACCTTTGAAGAATGTTGATTCCGCTGTCAAAAAGATGTCAAATTATGTGACTACTTGGCCATTAATTGTTGATGATCTGACTGGATGAATGATTACGGGAAAATGTCATTCTCAAAATATCTTCATTTCAAGGATTTTTTTATTATGAAGCATGTGAAAACTCTCGCTTGAAAGCGAAAAATAACGATTTATTTCTTGCATATCCTGATTTAATTGTTCGGCAGCTTGAGCTGAAAACTTTTATTCGTTCAAAAGTAAAAATTTTCGAACAAAATTATGTTCAATAACCTTTGACTTCGTAGATAACAAATTGTTAAAATAATGTGATCGCAAATTCAATAATCATTGACCAAAAAAACATGAAATTCAATCCGAGTTGAGTTTTGCAGTTTTGAAAAAAAGAGATCAACAGGAGTCACAGAATTTACAAAAGAGAAATGTTTCAACATATCGCAGACACTGTTACATCTATAAACCATTATAATTTTATAATTTGATATATTTATGTTCATTTTGTTATAGAAAAACGTTTTAGCGTTTTTGCACGAGTAAAAATTAATGATGTAACCAATGTAAGAGGTCAGCTTATATATAATTATAATATTTTTATTGCATTTTTAATGTCATATTGAGTATCTTGTATTGTCATTAAATTTTTCAAAATGTTTATGGTTGTTTTGAGCTCTGACTTATGAATGTAAATATCATGGAGTGTGAAGCGCCCTTCACTCCAAACATTAACGTTCTTCGTTATAATAATCTTTTCCACTATTCCATCGAATCTCACCAAAAAAATATTTCGATGAAGCTATACTCAAGAGAAGCCCAGATCAAAACACCAAGCTAAGCTGTACAAGATGATCGCTGACCTCATGGAACAATGAATTGACACCCTTTCAAACGCTTTAGACAATTCTTTTAACAGCTTAGAACCTGGAAGAGTCGACAGATGTCGCCATGGTCTATACTGCGATTTTGCCAGTAAGTCATGTTCATATCTGATTAATCGGAAAAAATCTAATCGTGAATTATTTTTGTGTTCATATGGCCACCTTCCATAAGCTGCCCAAAATTCGCGTCCATTTCATGTACATGGTATATTTTTTACTACACTGACTCTATAAGGTCGTTTATCGCTACCACAACTGGGCTTCCCTTTATAATAAAAACATGCATTGAAATATCTGAGCTCACAGTTCTGAACTTCAGACAGCGGTATATCTTCAATATATTTATGCTATTACCTGCGTCACTAAACGAACTTCTCGCCTACAATCTCATGCAGAAGCAAGGTCTCTCCTTTATCAATACAAGCGTCATGTAATCTTCAGCATTCGTTGTGCCTTCAGCTAGCAACAAAAACATCATTAGATATGTAAACAAAGTGAGCATCCGGCAAGGATACTCTATCAAAGCACTTGCCCTAATGATAAGTATTTATATCAGCTCCACGCAATCTCTTATTGAATACCTGCCTTGCCATTAATTGCGAAGTTTATATATTAATACAGTTTATATATGACGAACTTTCAAGCACTGTATTGAATGTATCGTTAAATTATTGCTATAAACAACTTCTTGCTCCTTTATCAGTAGTTTAAAATGTAATACTTAACAAAACTTTCTATATAAAATATACTTTCTTACAAATATGAACTTTTTTTGAACTTTCACGCGGAGGGCACTATCCGCTGTAACATCGGCAATGATATAAAAGCACTTGCCTCGCATTGCTGGACATCACCTTTGACAAATTATCCCCCCAAAATTATTGACGAATTGTTGAATGAAAATTTACGTTAGACAAATCCACAGTTACAGAAAATTCTAATCTAAAAACTCTTAAGAAAATCTCATTCCAAACTGCTGCCGTTTAAAAATGCAAGGAGTAACTCGACATGCATGGAGATATTGTTGCATGTTGTAAAACTGGAAGTCAAACAATTACTCTTTATAGTTTTGAGATAAACAAATTTAACTGCGCAACGCTTCCAACGAAATTAAATTTTAGATCGCTGTTAAGCGCTGCATGGGATAGATCGATGAAGATTCTTCATTAATTATTTAACGTCATTACTTGGAAAAAGCAATATTGATGAGTTGGAAGAAATAAATGTAAATAATATTTGTAGTTTAGTGATACGGGCTGAAAATAACAGAGTTTACGTACAATTGCAAATACATCTTCATGAACACGTACCCAGCTCATTATACAGTATTAGCTACCAATAAATTGAGGCTTAGACCTTTTTTCGAGCGCATTTCATTTAAATCTCGGATACTCGAAAACGTAAAAGGTATAAAGTTCCTAACAATAGACTTCGTTAGGTATCACCATATGGTATCACATATCCTACATTTTAAAGTTTGTATTGTTTCTGTTTTATAGTATTTTAGGCATGCAAGCAGAGATGTAAACAAACGAAAAGTCTTGTTTTCTTCATATAGCGTGCATAGTTTAACAAACATGCCTTCGGTGTTTTCTTTGCGGCCAAACCTTGTAGCTATGATACGGAATGTTTCCTTCCTCCAATATCAACTTCTAGGCTAGTTTTTGCATGTTCAGAAAACCCGGTGAGTTAGAAGGCTGACCCCGGACATATAATACACTTCTTCTCGTTTCGTGTCCTATAATGATTTAAAATCTTAGAGACTTAGATGGCACGCAATCAGATACAGGCGACGAAAAATCTTGTTTTTGTTCACGTAGCGTCCTAACAAAAGCAAAACAACGCTGCGGTTCTTTGCGGTTTAGTTTGTATTCTTAGGAATCGATGACTGGATACCTTGCTGGACAAGACCTTTAACAAATTATTCCCCCAAAATTGTTGGACGAATTTATCAGATGAAAATTTACGTTAGACAAATCCACAGTTACAGAAAATCCTAATCTGAAAACTTTTAAGAAAAAGCTCATTCCAAACTGCTACCTTTTAAAAAGACAATTAAGGAATAACTCGACATGGAGATATTTTTGCATGTTGTAAGGCTGGAAGTCAAACAATTGCTCTTTATAGTTTTGAGATAAACGAATTTAACTGCGCAACGCTTCCAAGTTCCAACGAAATTAAATTTTAGATCGCTGTTAAGCGCTGCATGGAATAGATCGATGAATATTCGTCGTTAATTATTCAACGTCATTACTTGGACAAAGCAATATTGATGAGTTCGAAGAAATAGATGTAAATAATATCAGTTGTTTAGTGATACGAGCTGAAAATATCAGAGGTTACAATTGCAAGTACATCTTCATGAACACGTAACCCCGCTCATTATACAGCATTTGTTACCAATAAATTGAGGCGTAGATCTGTTTGGAGCGCATTTCATTGAAATCTCGGATACGCGATAATTGTCACTCGAAAACGTAACAGGTATAAAGTTCCTAACAATAGACTTCGTTAGGTATCACCATATGGTATCACATATCCTACATTTTAAATTTGTATTGTTTCTGTTTTATAGTATTTTAGGCATGCAAGCAGAGATGTAAACAAACGAAAAGTCTTGTTTTCTTCATATAGCGTGCATATATAGACTAACGATTAACAAACAACGCCTTCGGTGTTTTCTTTGCGGCCAAACCTTGTAGCTATGATACGGAATGTTTCCTTCCTCCAATATCAACTTCTAGGCTAGTTTTTGCATGTTCAGAAAATCCGGTGAGTTAGTAGGCTGACCCCGGACATATAATACACTTCTTCTCGTTTCCTGTCCTACAATTCTTTGAAAGCTTAGAGACTTAGATGGCCCGGAAGCAGATACAGGCAGACGAAAAATCTTGTTTTTGACAAATCCACAGTTACAGAAAATCCTAATCTGAAACTCCTAAGAAAAAGCTCATTCCAAACTGCTGCCTTTTAAAAAGACAAGGAATAACTCGCTATGGAGATATTTTTGCATGTTGTAAGGCTGGAAATCAAACAATTGCTGTTTATAGTTTTGAGATAAACAAATTTAACTGCGCAAGGGTTCCAACGAAATTAATTTTTAGATCGATGTTTTTCGCTGCATGGAATAGATCGATGAATATTTCTTATTAATTATTCAACGTCATTACTTGGAAAAAGCAATATTGATGAGTTCGAAGAAATAAATGTAAATAATATTTGTAGTTAGTGATACGGGCTGAAAATATCAGAGCTTACGTACAATTGCAAGTACATCTTTATGAACACGTAACCCAGCTCATTATACAGCATTAGCTACCAATAAATTGAGGCTTAGATCTGTCTCGAGCGCATTTTATTTAAATCTCGGATACGCGATAATTGCCACTCGAAAACGTAACAGGTATAAAGTTCCTAACAATAGACTTTGTTAGGTATCACATATCCTACATTTTAAAGTTTATATTGTTCCTGTTTTATAGTATTTTAGACATGCAAGCAGAGATGTTAACAAACGATAAGTCTTGTTTTCTTCATATAGCGTGCATAATCTAACAAACAACGCCTTCGGTGTTTTCTTTGCGGCCAAACCTTGTAGCTATGATACGGAATGTTTCCTTCCTCCAATATCAACTTCTAGGCTAGTTTTTGCATGTTCAGAAAATCCGGTGAGTTAGAAGGCTGACCCCGGAAATATAATAAAATATTCTTCTAGTTTCGTGTGCTATAATGATTTAAAATCTTAGAGACTTAGATGGCCCGGAAGCAGATACAGGCGACGAAAAATCTTGTTTTTGTTCACGTAGCGTCCTAACAAAAGCAAAACAACGCTGCGGTTCTTTGTGGTTTAGTTTGTATTCTTAGGAATTAATGACTGGATACCTGGTGAGTTCGAAGAAATAAATGTAAATAATATTATTTTGTAGTTTAGTGATACGGGCTGAAAATATCAGAGCTTACAATTGCAAGTACATCTTCATGAACACGTAACCCAGCTTATTGTACAGCATTAGTTACCAATAAATCGAGGCTTAGATCTGTTTGGAGCGCATTTCATTTAAATCTCGGATACGCGATAATTGTCACTCGAAAACGTAACAGGTATAAAATTGCTAACAATAGACTTCGTTAGGTATCACGTATCCTACATTTAAAATTTGTATTGTTCCAGTTTCAGAGTATTTTAAGTATGGAAACAGAGATACACAGGGTGTCAACAAAAAATTCCCCCTTAATGAAATGAATGTTTTGTTGGAATTTGAATGCATGATCAACGCAGTAGTGTGTTATAGTTATTAGGTCGAGGTATTCAAATAAGGCGTCTTAATTGCTTTCAATTGGGTTTATCACAATATTTTGGATGTTCACGAAATAGTTAGTAAGCTGACCACGGACAGATATACTTCTTCTAGTTTTGTGTCCTATACATTAGTAAAAGCTTAGATGGCCCGGAAGCAGATACAGGCGACGGAAAATCTTGTTTTTGTTCACGTACCGTCCTAACAAAAGCAAAACAACGCTGCGGTTGCGGTTCTTTGTGGTTTAGTTTGTATTCTTAGGAATCGATTTAAGATATCTGACAGGTACACCAGTTGGTCAGTTCGCTTGCGAATTTTGATGAAAACAGTTCGCGAAGATTTCGCTACAGATGAGATACAATAAGGTAGGCTGTGAGTGACTTTACACATGCAAGAGAATAAATCTTGTCGCGCATGTGAAATATGGGCGTAAATTAAAGTTTCTAAATATATATATATATATATATATTCACTTGCAAACGTCTTCCGACAGTTTGATACAGAAAACCGTTCACACCAAATTCAGTTTGCAAGGATCTACAGTTTGTTTGTTTATATATGTTATTTGACCAGGATTTTGATGAATACATTTTGAATGATAAGCAATATCATGCTCCGTGCTAAATAGGATAGATATTGGTCGACGTTTTTCTTATTTGCGTGTCTCCAGCCGGAACTAATGGCTTTAATCGTGAAATGCGTTGTCCAGAAAAATTCCGATTCTCGAATTCATCCCCGGCATCGCCCGGCCAAAATAACTGCGTTGCCGAGTCGCGTCGGGCGCATGATTGTGGACCAAGAAGAGAGATATGATAAACTTTTAAGATAGTTTTTCATGCTTAGAAGAATAATGGTTCTTGTAACTTTCTACAATGAAAATAAAGACTATATAATCTCATGCAGACATGCATATATTATATTTCAGTTTTATATCCTACATTTTTAAGTTTTATAGTCATAGCCCTGTATAGGCAAGCGAACAGAGATAGCCAAATGAGAAGGTTCCGTTTTGTTCATATAGCGCCGTAAAGAGAAAACGCTTTTAGTGTTACCTTTTGTAGTTTATTCTTGTAGCTATGATACGAAATGCAAGCTTCCTGCAATATCACGCAGTTTTTGAATTTTCAGAAAAAGTGGTTCCTGTAACTTTTTATATTACTATTAACTGGGTACACTCAGTCTGACTATGGGCTTTACTCCTTCTAGTTTCGCGCATGCCTTATAGCTACTTTGAAAGCTTAGTTAATTTTGTTCATGACAGCATTGTTGTGAAAGCAAAACAACGCTGCGGTTGCGGTTTAGTCTGCATTCTTAGGAATCGATTTAAGATATCTCACTGGTACCAGTTGGTCAGTTCGCTTGCGAATTTTGGTAAAAAATGTTTGCAAAGATTTCCTTCACGATAAAGCTAGGCTAAGATGACTTCATGCTTTGCGAATGATATAGTTAATTTACAGCATTAAGCATGTAGGCGCCATGAGTAAATCCCTAACATTATAGGGAGAGTATACTGCATGAGGTAGGTATGCATGGATGTAAATAGGAACTGGAGTTTGCATGTACATAATATATAAACAATTTAATTTCCATTCAATTTCAAAACAATTCATGCAATATATTCCTATAATGGCCAAGCACCAATAAAGTCGGGAAGCTTGTCTTGAACAACACTCGTTGTATGTGTCCGCTCTCAAAATGAACGGCTGACCTTTTACTTGATCTCTATATAGGAAATATTTAAGACCGTATCTAATTAATTATGTTTACCGCGATTGTTGACACGTATTGTTCCTACATTTTTCATTTCGTTTTGAAATTTAAATTTAAATTTCGATTTTCAGTGAAATCAGAGATTATGAACATGTCGGTTATATATGTTCATGATTTAGCTGCACTTGTGAACTAGACAAACAAAGCCAACAAATATAAATTATTTAATAGTAATATTGAACTGATACATAGCTATATCAGTCACTGGTGCATTATGCATTAATTGTCTTTTTATAGGAATCATAACTAATAATTGCATATTTTCGCTTTGCAACGGTCTAAAGGTGGAGAAACGCTGCTCAAAGTTTATACTGCCTTTGACCTTTGTATTTCCATTTAATAAATTTCATAGAACCAATCATAAACCATTTGTTTTTTTAAAAAAATATCGTATATAGTTAATATGGAAGAAACTAAAAATGGAAACAAAGAACACGAAGATGGAAAACAGTCGACATCAACTGAAAATGAAACGGCAGATACTACGGAACAACTGGATGATAAAACCGACGATTCCAACACAGAAAGAGGCGATATTAAAAATCTTGATAAAAAAACGACTGATGATTCAGAGAATGGTATGAAATGTAATTGTACATCAACCGAAAACTGTCATGAACAAATTAGATCTTTTTCTGCATGGTTTCCATGCTTAATTCTATATGACCTCATTCGCAACAATTTCATAAAAAAATTATCTCAATTGCACCATCTATAACGCCTTAAACTACGCTAGAGTAAAAAATCATTTTCATAATATCATTCATTCATCATTCAATCATTTTCATAATCTTGTGTAGAAAATTTTCAGTTTGATGATTTTGTTTTGTAATCGTAGCAAAATCCGTAAGCCTTCCTGGTAATCTTGCGAAGCATTCACCTCCAGTTTCAGAAACGGGAAAAGATGAACCGGAACAACAAGACCAAGCTTCAAAAGCATTAACGACAGCAACTACAACAATTAAGACAACAAATACACAAAACAACAAAAATACAAAAACACCTGCTTCAAAATACACATTAGAACATGCACGAACCATCGATAATCATTCACTAATTGATCAAGAATTGAACCCCAAAGATAAAATACCTGATTATATTTTTAAAAATTTAATGATAGTTAATTATCACGTACGAGAATTCGAACTAAAACCAGGCAAAGATAAAGATACCGTGGAAGTGAATCCAATGGATGCGATACTCGGTATATTTCATCGCTCCGATGATTCATTACGACGTTATCTTACCAGTAAATTATCCGCTTGTCAACTTAGTGTTCCATTTCTTCTGCCTGATCCCGAAGCACCTTCTAAAAACGTCACAATTCTGCTGTCAGCTTTAGAGAACATCACAAAGTGTTGGAAAGATTCCTCTGGAACAAAACAAGTATTTGCAACGGAACATCCATTTCCGGTGGTTTCTTTCATTCGCATTGGCAAAACTAAAATGTCAAAATCATCCTTGATTAATAAAATTATGAGTGACGGAGACATTACACATGACTTCTTCTTCCACAAAGACATGAAAGGTGGTCACGTTGAAAGGAAAGTTGTTGATGGATTGGTTGAAGTGAATTGGTATCTTCCTGGGGAGAGTAAAGGAACGACGTTAAAAAAAGAAATTTGTTTTGCAAATCTTCGAGGAGACGCCAGAAATTTTCAGAAGCAGCTTGATCTTATCTCTGCGATTTCATCCGTATTATTCATATTATTGCCCTCGAAATTTCGAAGCAAAGGCGACGCCATACCAAAAAAAATGTTAGAAGAAGCAAAGCGTGCCAGAGGTAAAACCATCCTCATCTTTAAGAAAGAGATAGAAAATGATGCGAAGAAATATTTCGAGGATTCGGAGTTTTCTTTGATAATTCAAGCCAAAGAGAAAAACGAAAGTCACTTCCTCCTGAAAATACGACAAAGTATTGAGATGAATATCAATAAAGTGGAAGCCTCACCTCTTGTGGCCCTAGCATCTCATCAGAGTGGAGATGGTGTTCATCTTGATGTTCCACAGCATTTAGATTTGGAAATCGAAGAGACATTTGGAAGATGGCTAAACAGAGAAAATAGAAATGCCAAAAATCTTCTGAAGTTACAAACGCACGTCCCAGAATTGGCGGATTTGGAACGCGAGAAACATTCTCCGAAATGTCTCAGTGGCAAAGCTGAACCCCACAGCATTACGAAAGTTGCAGAGAAGATTTGCGAAGGTATCGCAAAAGTAGAAATCGCTCAAAGAGGCACCTTAGACAAATTGGACGAAAGAATCCTGGATTGTCTAAAATACATTGGTACCGTCGATGAAACTACACGAGATTACACCTTAAACAAATTGAAAAATTGTTTGAATAAAATGTCCCTGGAAACAATGCCAAAATTGCACGAAGCCTATCTCCAGGCTAGGCTGAAACTTCTAAAGAAGAGGAAGGAAACGTCTCAGGGATCCGAAACACATTCCCCGGAAGAGGAAAATTTAAAAGATTTAGAAGATCAAATCTCAAAAAACTCGTTCGGTTTAGAACATATCATCAGAGAACTTGCTCAGCTTTACGAGATAGAAGAAAATGAATACGACTATGCAGGTGCTGCAGCAGACATGTTGCTTTCAGGACATCCTCTTGAGATACTGGATGGTGATTCCTTTTACATTCCACTGCGATGGTTTAAGGCTGTGTTTAATGAATTAGAGCAAAAAACAAATAATGCGAATATATTTGTAATTTCTGTTGTAGGAATTCAAAGTTCAGGTAAGTCAACAATGTTAAACACAATGTTTGGTTTAGAATTTCCAGTCAGTGCTGGAAGGTGTACGCGTGGCGCTTTTGCTAATCTTATTCCCGTTAGTGATTCTCTTAAGACAGCTTCAAAGTTTGATTACGTTTTGATTATTGATACCGAAGGTCTTAGTGGATCCGCAGATTCCACGTTACGAAAACATGACAACCAGTTAGCGACATTTGCAATTGGTGTTGCGGATGTAACCATAGTGAATATCATGGGTGAAAATCAAAATGAGATGAAAGAATTTTTAGAAATAGCTATCCATGCCTTCTTGAAGATGAATATGGTTGAAAAAAAGAAAAAGTATTGCAAAATTGTCCACCAAAATGTTGTAGCGACGGATGCAAAAGACAAATTAACCTTCAAACGATTCAACCTCAAAAAGGATCTCGACCAAATGACAAAGCTTGCTGCTTGGCAGGAGAATTGTGAACAAGAATATCGTACATTCGATGATATCATTTCCTTTGATGAAGAGAAAGACGTGTTTTATATACCAAGTCTTCTGAAAGGAAGTCCTCCAATGGCTCCAGTGAACCCACAGTATGGAAGATCTGTTCAAAAAGTGAAAGAAACCATCATTGACTTGATGTATTCAGAAGAAAGTGTGAAAAATTCTTTTTCCCAGTTTCGAGAAAGAGTCTGCAACCTCTGGAAGGCCATGCTTAAAGAAAATTTTATATTTTCTTTCCGTAATATAATTGAAGTCAGGGCATTTACGGCATTAGACAGAAAATATTTCAGTGAGTCAGTAAATTTGATTACAATAGGAATGAGCGAGTTTCAAACGAATGTTGAAGTGGCTCTAAAAAGGTGCTCAACAAAGACACAACGAGAAGAGGAATGGAAAAAGAAAGAAAAGGAAATACGTGAAGAAGGACAAAGACTTGCAGAAAAAATGAAGGAGGCAATGAATGAATTTTTCAAAACCAACCAGGACAAGGAAACTCTGGAACAGTGGAAAGAAAACGTGATGAATAGAATTGAAGCTGAGAAGGAAACTCAAGTGCGACAGATTCACAACGATTGCTTTTCAACTTTCGAGTATTTACAGAGTTTACAGGACGTTGAAGCAATGAAACAAGACTGCGAAGCGACGCTTCTGGAAAAGGCAAAAAACTTTATAACATCAGCCGGTGATATTGATGATAAAAAGAAATTTAAGATTGCTTTCGAAAAAGAATGGCGGCAATGGATTGAATGCGTTTCCGAATGTCAAGTAAGTAAAGCAAACGTCAATGATGAAATGGTGTATGTTCTTCGCAGCACAGACAAAAGTTTGGAGGCTGAAATGGGAAAGAAATTAGAAGAAAAAAACAATGACATATTAAACTTTCGAAAAGATGCTCCAGATGTTGAAAGTAGTCAGCTAAAATATTTCCCCAGCAAAATTCATTCATTAAGAAATTCGTTTCCACACATTTCAGAAATCTATTTACCAATGCTGGAAGAATCGAGGAATTTGCAGCATTCCAGGCAGTCGATTTTGCAGAAAAAGCTTTCAATTCGGGATTTAGATGCACACGTAATGTTCTAATACAAATGTACCACAATGTGATCACCGCGATCCAAGAAGAAACAAAAGAATTCCGTAAATCTTCAAAGTGTGATGTATTGCTTTACGCTTTTGCTGAAACGTATGAAATTTTTGAAAAAATGGAAGAACGCTTCATACAGGAACGAGATATTAGAGGTAATCTGGAAAGAAACCTGCGACCAATGTTAGAAAAATATTTCGAAGATATTTGTGAGAAGATGGAAAAAGAAGTGTTAGCCGCTACTTCGTTCGTCCGAGCACTTGAAACTCCAATTGAATCAGCGCTGAACAGTATCATGGGTCAAGCAGTGGCAAGAGAAATACTGAAAGAAACCACGTACAAAAGCAAAAGTCAATTTCATGCGAATGTCCTCATTCAACTAGGGAAGGAAAGCAATTTCGATTCGTACAAGCCTTATCTAACAAACCCAGTTAATTTTCTAAAAATAAAACTAATGGGATCGATAGAAAACTACTGTTTAGACCACGTGAAATCTATTTTAGAAGACAAAATCACAGGAATACAAAACAATGTTTTCGCTGCTATTAAAACTGCCAACGAGAAAACAAGAACTGGAAACAAGAAACTGACATTCTGGATTCAGCAGTTTGTCGAAGAGTGTTCTATACTCGTCATAAAGGAAGAAACGTTTGCTCTAGCTGCCATTGAAAATCTGGATAATATGGAAGTCTTCCAGGTTGAAGTTCGTAAAAAAGTAAACCTTTTTGTAAAAAGCGTCATAGATCGCGGTTTTGATGTTGAAAATATTCAAACATGGAATCCATCACCGGGTGATATTTTATTTAACAAAATTATTGGTTGTGAAAGTGTTTGCCCATTCTGCAAAGCTTTGTGTGACCAAACAGTTTTAAATCATCCAGGAAAACACTCAACGCTATCTCATCGTCCAGAAGGAGTAGGTAGTTACCACGATAGTGAGTCAAAAGTATTAGTCACAGAAATTTGTACAATGAGAGTGGCAAGTAACAGGACATTTCTAAACGATGCTACGTCAGGAAAACCTCATCTTTACAAAGATTATCAGTCAGTAAATCCTTATTACAAATCCTGGTCAATTGCTCCAGATCCATCATTTGAATCATCCAAGTATTTTCAATGGTTTATGGCAACCTTCTCGAAAGAATTGGCAGAATACTACGAGGTCAAAGAACCGCACATTCCCGAGGCATGGAAACGGGTTAAGTTCAGCGAGGCAAAAGAAGATCTTGAAGATAAATACAACTTGTAAATACATGCATAGTCCAAATCTTGTAGGGTCCAAGAAGACTATATATCATATTGCCTACAACCCAAGTTTCAAAGATTTTACACAAAAAGAATGTTGTTATAGATATTGAAAGTATATAAAACATTTGTGTCAATAACAAATCATTTAAGAAAGTTTAAAAAAATAACATTAGCTTAAACACTTGATTATAATCATATATCTTTTCATAAAATATGTAAATCAATTTGTTTTACAGCACGCTAGTTAAACAATTTAAACAAAATGGACCTAAATATCATGATTCAGACCACGCTGAAGGTGTTTGCGAATATTCTTGCGATAATTTGCGAACTCTTTAGCATATAAAAATTTTCAGATATAAAATTATAAACTGACATCTATAATCTCAGCCTTGACAAAAAGCACAAAAATATGAAATTTCACCAGACAAACACAACCGCATTTTAATATACGACACATCACAAACGCAATAAGCTGACCAGACACACTCCGACACTAATCACCATATATGAAGTCTTTGGTCAGATCAACCAACCTTTCCTCGTCTTGAAGTTGGCTGCGGTGCAAGCAACTATGAAAAGCTGATCCTGGTGAAGAGAAAAGGGCGAGGAACAAAAATCTGGAGATTTTCTCAACAAATGCTTATATATAGGCATGCATCTAGACATTTTTTTATTATAACTACAGCGATTTAAATTATTAATTCTACCATTGAGTGTTATAATAAGGAACTCAAAGCGCAACTCAAACATTTACAACCGAGCGCTAAGCAGGAAATACCCGCATGTAAGAGAATAAAACATTCGGTGTTAAGCGGTTTGTTGAAAATCATCAGTTCAGATTTTAAAATCATCATCTTTTAATCAGCCATTTTCAAGCAATTTGAAAACGATTGAATTTGCCATCATATTAGTTACTTCACCTAACTATTTCTCAGAATGAAAAAATCTAATTTCATCAAATTTCAAATGTTTCTTACCAAAACTGTTGAAAAATGAATTGAATTATTTCACATCAGAACTAGCTAATTGTACTTAGTATTTTGTGTTTCGTTTGCTGTCACAACCTCGTACAAAACACAGCTTGTTTGTGATAAAAAAATCAGAAATGAAAATATTCCGAGAGACATTTTGCAGATCGTTGTCCAATCAAAAAAATAATGATTGTGGAACTATAAAGCTTTAAAAGCCACCTTCGTGGTCCGTTGAGTGATCTTCTTAACTGAGCTGAATCGACAAGAAATCTTGACGCTCTGTGCTCGAAAATAACAAACAAAACTCCAACTCCACCTCGACTATATAGTGTTTTAACAAGACGAATTGTGTGAGGACGTTCCATGATGAAGCATTGAAGTACAGCTATGAATACATCTTTCTAAAGCTACAAACAAACCAACATTAACACTTGAACACTGACTTGGTTATCGTGGAATGAAACTGTATTTTGGAGTGCATTATTCCTGAAGATAGACAATGGAACTCTGAGATTCAGATTAAGAAAAGAATCGGAAGAAAATATGAATGAGGCAAAAATATTGTACATATGATGATGACATTACCAAAGACAAATACGATTTATCCAAAATGACAGAATGTTAATTTATATTAACTTGTAATGCATTCAGTGCAAAATGACGCCTTGGAACATCATCATAGAAACTAAATCGTAAATTTGGAAGAGAAGAAAGAAAGAATCATGGGATCAAAGAAGGTGAAGAAAAAGTCAACCACTTCGTACAAAATGATGAGAATTATACAAACGAGGATTATATATTTGGGAATTGTGAACCTTTGAAGAATGTTGATTTCTCTGTCAAAAAGTTGTTAAATTATGTGACCACCTGGCCCATAATTGTTGATGATCGAACTGGATGAATGATTACGGGAAAATGTCATTCTCAAAATATCTTCATTTCACAATTTTTTTATGAAGCATGTGAAAACTCTCGTTTGAAAGCGAAAAAAAACCCGATTTTTTTCTTGCATATCCTGATTTAATTCTTCGGTAGTTTGAGCTGAAAACTTTTATTCGTTCAAAAGTAAAAATCTTCGAACAGAATTGTGTTCAATAACCTTTGACTTCGCAGATAACAAATTATTAAAATAATGTGATGGCAAATTCAATAATCATTGACCAAAAAAACATGAAATTCAATCCGAGTTGTGTTTTGCAGTTTTGAAAAAAAAGAACAACAGGAATCACAGAATTTAAAAAAGAGAAATGTTTCAACATATCGCAGACACCGTTACTTCTATAAACCATTATAATTTGATATATTTATGTTCATTTTGTTAGAAAAACGTTTTTTACTTTTTTTGCACGAGTAAAAATTAATGATGTAACCAATGTAAGAAGTCAGCTTATATATAATTATAATACTTTTATTGCATATTTAATGTCACATTGAGTATCTTGTATTGTCATTAAATTTTTCAAAATGTTTACAGTTATATTGAGCTCTGACTTAATAAATGTAAATATCATGGAGTGTGAAAGGCCCCTTTACACCAAACATTAACGTTCTTCGTTGTAATAATCTTTTCCACTATTCCATCGAATCTCACCGAAAAATATTTCGATAAAACTACTGTACACTCACGAGAAGTCTCGATGGCCCGATCAAAAAACCAAGTTACGCTGTACAAGATGATCGCTGACCTCATGGAGCAATGAATTGACACCCTTTCAAACGCTTTCGACAATTATTTTGACAGCTTAGAACCTTGAAGGGTTGACAGGTGTCGCCATGGTCTATACCGCGATTTTGCCAGTAAGTCCTGTTCATACCTGATTGATCGGAAAATCTAATCGTGAATTATTTTTGTGTTCATATGGCTATAATACCTTCCATAAGCGATTCGTTTTAGCTGCCCAAAATTCGCGTCCATTTCGGCCAGGCATTTATCGTTCATCATATGTGAAAAAGCATTCAAAAATGATTTCTAAATTCTCCAAACGCCGTTATAGTAATGAGTTATATTCCTATACATGGTATATTTTTTACTTCTCCGACTCTATAAGGTCGTTTATCGCTACGACAACTGAGCTTCCCTTTAATAAAAACATGCATTGAAATAGCTGAGCTCACAGTTCTGAGCTTCAGAGAGCGGTATACCTTCAATATATTTATTTTATTATCTTATTTTATTATGAACTTCTCTCGCCTATAAAATCTCAGAAGCAAGGACTCTCCTTTATCAATTCAAGCGTCATGTAATCTTCAGCATTCGTTGTGCCTTCAGCTGGCAACAAAAACATCATTAGATATGTAAACAAAGTGAGCATCCGGCAATGATACTCTATCAAAGCACTTGCCCTAATGATAAGTATTTATATCAGCTCCACGCAATCTCTTATTGAATACCTGCCTCGCGATTAATTGCGAAATGTCAGCGCGCGCGCACCAAGCTGTCATTAAGGACCCAGTGAGTGCGCTTTTGGCAGCCAATCGACACGAATCTCAATCAACGACACTCGTTAAGTGTTCACCAATGAGCGTGGCCAATAAGCGCCAAGCATGATAGCCCATTAAGCTCCTACAAAGACGCAACAATGTCAGAGCCCCAAATGACTGAGGAAATCAGACATTCACTACATCGAACCGGTGCGGTGTTCAACAGTTCAAACGCATGTCCTTTCATCAGAACCCTGATCAAATCTTACAGCAAGTTTATCAAAACAGCACCAGTCACAAACTGCTTCATCGATGATCTCGCAAAGCTCACAAGCACGTCAACAAAACCCAGGGGTTACGTCATTCTTCATTAAAGACATCCTAGCATCCAGCGAGGTACAGAAAACTTCAGAAACAACGATTTGTAAAGATCGCTTATCATCAGAGGGATTTCCTTCAAGTCCCGTGGCGGAAAGCGATCAGGACTCGACGAGATTATTCACGTTGCCTCATCCCCGCATTGGACTCGATCAGAACAGCGTACTGCAAACGGATAACAGAGAACGGAAAAGTATATGTGAGTCGAAATCTGAAGAGAAGCCTACGAGAGTTGGTTTAGAGCGACACGTTCACACGGGTAAGTATAAAGCTTTGATTTTGTTGAATATATTCCCAAATATTTCGCAAACAAATGACGTCTTCGACCTCTCAATAGCCAGAGATTTGGTAAATATACGACATAAGCATTAAACAATCATCTTTAGCATTACTGTACGAACGCTAAATGTTCACTCTAATCCTTTGTGTACAAGTTTGTTTTGATATAGCTTCATGAGTTCACATGCATGGAATAACATGATTGTATTCCCTTGCTGAACAATTTTTTCTTATCGTATTGAGTAATTGCGTGCTCGTTATCTTCCTGTACTTATCTCATGCGAAAGTGCATTTCTTATGAAATTTGCTTTCCATTGTCAATATGGTTATATGGGCAAGCATAAGTCGACAGTCGATTATCTAATGATTAGTAAATATATACATTTTGTTGAAGAGAAGCGAATATACAATGGCCCGTGTAAGGCTGGGAGCTTTTATTCAGGTATTTTGGTCAGATAGGGAATTTCAAGCCTCTTTGAAGCTGGAAAAAAGAACGACTGTTTCATTTAGTATAAGAAACAGATCTACGAAGGATAAATTTGTATTGGGCTTTAATTTTCAACCGAGAGTAAGATTCGTTTAAGAGTGAACTAGGTTAGTGATCTCATGCAAGTAAACATAATATATCGCGGCAGTTTATAAAATTATCAGACTAAGGCTCATTTGCATTAAAAGCGCATATCGGGATGATAAACTAGTCAGGTGGTTATAATCATCAGTCGTTTGAAGGAGCGCGATATTTAGTTTTCATTAAAGCAATCGTGAAACGGTAGATCTTGACAAATAGATTTAAATGCGCATGCAATGCAGAATGCTAGTATACGTTATGATGTAAGTCTTACATATCACAATATATCCTTGAATTAGTTAAATAAGAAAAACATCTAGATCTCATATAATATTTCACATTAAGTACCCGTATTTATATTATAGTTTAGAAGTTTCTTTC